AAAAGATATAATAAAATATTTACAAAAATGTGAGGGGTGTACTCACTTCTGTGAGATACACACTGTATGTATATATATATATTTATTTATTTATTTAAAAATATTTAAATATTCAAAAATGTTCACCTTCAAAATGTATTTATGCTTGCAAATGCTGCTTCATGTTGTCTTTCAAAGCTCTTGAGAAGCCACATGGGATGTGATGCCACAATGAGGACAGAATGAGGGCAACGGTAGATGTTAAACCATACATCAGTGTACAGTGATTTGTCATGAGACAGTGGGGAGCTCTTCTCATCCACATCCTCACTGCAGCTCTCCAGAGATTTCAGCACATGACTAGTGCTCACAAAGAGGAAATTACATGATTGCAAAATAAGATTGAGGGGGAAAAACCCGTCTGTCCTTCTGTCTTGTTCTCTCTATCCATGCAACCCCCACCCTCTCTCTCTCTCTCTCTCTCTCTCTCTGACCTTTTTAGTTTTTGCTAATGTTTAACTGTCGTGGTCCAGTGATGTCATAGATATAGACTTCCCAAAAAGTGTTAGAATGAGAAAGAATAATGAAAGAAAGTGAATAATGTTCTTATAAACATTAAATCAACTTAGTTTCAGTGCCATGTAAAGTGTTTTTTGTGTGCGACACTACGGCCTGCTGCCATGCAGGTGCCGGCCTCCCAGAGGACGGTCAGGTAACACAGATGAGGGATAAAAAAGCCCCTTTGACAATGTTTGTGTGTGTGTGTGTGTGTGTGTGTGTGTGTAGTCGCGCCCGTATGACTGCATACACACCTACTTGAGATTCCAAACAACCCGTTTCCCAAAGTGTGTCTCTTAAGATTATACACAGAACACACACATGCAAAATGTTGCAGCTGAAATCTTGGCTCAAGATCAGTCATTTCGACCACACACGGTCCAAAATTAAATAACGGTGGGTGATATGAGAAAATGTGCAAGTCATAACGGTTTAAATATCACTGTATTTTTCATAATTTTTTATCAAAATGATTTTGATTACATGAAAATGGTTTATTTTACTTCTAACACTCATCTACAGAAGAGTCTATTTGTTATCCTTCATGCATTTTAAACCACCCTTCCCATTTTGTGTATTTGTAACCCTGCATTCTCCACCATAAAATAGGGTGCAAGAATAGCATAATCTTGCATCCTGCATCTGGTCACACTGCACAACCGTGATTTAGCTCTCTTTTCCAGCTGTGTGTGTGTGTGTGTGTGTGAGTTTGTGCTTTGGGTAAGAATACACCCACAGCGACCCTCTGGTCACGAGATCACAGCAGTGCTGACACTCAAACAACAACAAACACACTTAAACCCGGCACAAGCAAACAGCCTGGACTCAGGGGAACAGGCCTCTTTCAGACAGTTGTGTCACTTTATACTATTCAAAGACAAGGAGGGATTTTCGCTTATCTCTCCTTTGATTTCACCAGGGAAAAGCTCAGTCACCATCCAAGGGTTGCAGGTATTACAGCCCTGGTTTTTGCGCTTTTGTGACTTTATTTATGACTGTCTTTGTGATTTATATAAACATTCACAGTCTGCAAATCTAAAAAGCAAACCTCGACAAAATAATGACTCCAGCAGCTAAACTCATCTATAGGTTTCTTTGTTATCCTTCATGCATTTTTCTCTCTCCCTTCCTCCATCTCCCCCTCGTTCTCGCTCTTTCTCTTGAGGTGTCAGATTTCTACAGATGGTTCATATTAGCGCCCCTCTCTCTCTGGCTCACTGACCTCTTCATGTCCCATCCATGGGCCCTGGAGTGATTGGGTGGGGGAAAAACTCTTTCTAGTTCACATTTTTACGAGGCACCTCATCAAGATTTTGATTTCAACCCACTCACTTCTTCGTGCAAAAAACGTTACCTTAAGAGTTTGTCCCCCGCCCCCAAGGTACTGAGATTATCTAATCTGAACCAGTTGAGTGTCGAGTGGGCTTCACCATGAGGGGCGAAATTGAGCATTTCTGCATTACATACAAAAGGTAACTAAAAATGCTCCTTTCCATCCTTGCTCTCTTCTTTCTTGAGGAAAAGAGCCAGCCGTATTTATAGAAGCAGGCGGCCCTCCTCTACATCCTTGGCTTTCTCTAATTTTCGCTAAAAAGCCCAACGACCGCAGGAAAAACAGAGGGAAAAAGAGCGGAGGCAGGGGGAGGGGTGCAAAATGAAAAGAGTAACACAGACAGGGAGGGCTGAACCAGAGAGGGACGAGAAAGAAAGAAAGAAAGAAAGAAAGAAAGAACGAACAAGTAAAAGTATAAAGCAAGTTTTGTTTCTCTTTCTCCCTTTTTTGACAAGAAACAAGAAAAGAGGAGGACAGAAGGAGGGCAGGGTGGAGTAGACAGAAGTGCTGTGGTGAGACTGAGCGTGACTACGAGTGCATATGTGCTATAAATCTGATCTGAAAACAGCATGTC